CTGACATCAAATATAGTGAAAGCAGGGGTTATACTGTGGGGGAGGGACATACAAAGCAACAAAGAGATAATCTTATAAATGCGTTAGAAACACATGTATGAAAGAAAAAACATTAAAATACATATCTAAGGGTTTGTGGAGTACTTCTTGCATCTGCTAACCTTGTACATTATATCATCTAGGGGCAGCACTGTACGTGTACAACAATGCGGTTTTCACCCCAGAGGACTGGCATGGCATCCAGGAGATAGCAAGAAGCAGGAAAAAGGACGACCCCTTGAAGGTTGGAAGATTTGGAATTGGGTTTAATTCTGTCTACCACATAACAGGTGGAGTATTTGCCTTTTCAGTTTTTGATAATGGAAAATATTTTTGCCTATATTCTATCTTTGGTTTGGCTAACCTCAGAGATGAGACTGTTTTAAAGGAATCTTTCCCATATTCTTCTGACAGTGGCACTAAGTGCTCAGTGAAATACCAGTGTCTAGAAATCTCTAAAATTACTATGGTAACCATATCCGAGTATTACTTTATTATGTTAAACTAAAAATGAGCTCAAGGAGAAGCTTCTGTGAAGGTTACTGTGAACTAGTGCAATCAATGTAAGATATTTTTGTTTTATATGTTTACAAATGTAGCTTTTGAAATACACAAACTTGTTACTATGAGAAATTGTAAATCTTCCTGAGTCAAACTGCATTTTACAGGTTTTCTTGGACATATTTATAAATATCAGAAAGTTAAAGAGAAAAGTGTATTAAGAAAATGATTTTTGAAGTGGTCCTGGGATCTACATTTTCCTTAAACATTTTACTCTTGTTAGACTTTTGAGTATTTTATAGATTACATTGAAATAATGTTTTGAGTTAGAAAGAACACCAGATTTCTAGTTTATAGATAACATAGGAAATACTTGAAGCTCTTGGTGTAGGTATCTCTCAGGGTACATGGTTATTCTTAGCACACAACTCTTAGCACTTACTACAGATGAACCATAGAAATTCTTTTTGAAATTAGTTGTTTTTATGGTATTTTTAAACTGTATTGCAGGAGAAGGAGAGAGTGAGTAGGCAGGGAAGGTGATGACATCATCTAGGAAGGAAGACTAATTTTTCCAAACTAGGATATGTTTGAGGGTAAGAAAGGATGTCATCTCCCTTGGCTTAAATAGGATTTCCCTGGTGAGTGGGAAGCAGGGTCATCCTAACTATAGCTGAATTTAGTAAGCTTATTACATTTACATTGATATTGACATAGTAAGTAATATTTGTGTTATATTTTAATTGTATTAACTAGAAATCGTATATTAAAGTATAGCTAAACATCTGTATTGGTCTATTTGTAGGTTAGCCCTCAGGTCTGTAACATATGGCTTTTAAATGTGAGAAGGCACAGGTGTGAATTGTACATGTATGGAGAGTGTTATGCAGAAGTGACCTTGATGTTAAAACTAGGCTCTTGCCCCACATCTGCATCCCACTCTGGACTTGCTCCCAACTTGTCAGTGGTTACATGTGTGTGAAGCATCAGCTGGAGATCTTCTGTAACTGAAGGATTTGAAAAGCTCATAGGTCATGCTTTTATAGTTCAGGACTTTCCCTGACTTGCTTTTAGTCATGTCATAGGAATAGGCACAAGTGTACCCTAGACTTCACTGCTGATGGCTTTGGCCAGGGGGCTGGTGGACACATGATTGATCAGGAGTTCTTGATGCTGACAGTGGAATCTGCAGTTGACCATCACCAATAAGAAGAGTTGATTTTACTGGGGTTACATCTCATGTGAGGATTTGGAGTTAAAGTGTGTATTTGAGGAACACATATTAGCATTATCCTGAGGAAGTCCTCTCAGAGGTATACCAAGCACTTGGAAGTGTGTACTGAATGAATATTACCCTGTCTTGTATGGGAAACAAGTGAAGCATCTGGTATAAACTCTAGGCCAAAACTGTATATCTTTAAGTCTGATAATGGGGCTCATTGTGGTGAGATTGGCACAGTGAGGGTAGTGCTTTGAGCTCATTAACCTGCGCTTACTAACCTGCAATATGGTAGATGACCACCTGCATTGCCTTTCTCTTGTCATGGTGTTTAATTTGGAGCATAGGGTGCAACTTTCTTCCGTTTCATTGGGTTCATGTGGTTGGAGGGGCTGAGTATAAATATCCAGATTCTCCTTCCACTTTCTGCTTCATGGGTATTTGAAGATACATCCTAGGTTTGCACAGTAATCATGGATGTTTCTGTGTCTGGCACTTACAGGATAGAATTATAGCGTCATTATTTCTCATGTCTGGAGCCTGAATGATGTTTGTTTTTGAGTTGTTTTATGACTCATACTTGTTTCATAGGTGATATTTTGATGGTGGTTATAATGTCATATCTCTGTGATTCCAATGTATGTTCTGTTTCTGAGTTGATGGTGACTTTCTCTTTGCAGATGTCCCGTGCATCTTCAGTGGTGACCAGATTGGGATGTTAGACCCTCATCAAACACTTTTTGGCCCACACGAATCTGGCCAATGTTGGAATCTGAAAGATGACAGCAAAGAAATTAGTGCACTTTCAGACCAATTTGCCCCCTTCATTGGTATTTTTGGAAGCACCAAGGAAACGTTTATAAATGGCACTTTTCCAGGAACATTTTTCCGCTTCCCTCTTCGCTTGCAACCTTCTCAACTGAGTAACAATCTTTACAATAAACAGAAGGTTCTCGAGCTCTTTGAATCTTTCCGGGCAGATGCAGACACTGTGCTGCTTTTCTTAAAGAGTGTACAGGAAGTCTCTTTACATGTCCGAGAGGCAGATGGGACAGAGAAACTGATATTTAGAGTGACTGCAAGTGAGAATAAGGGCATGAAACTTGAACGGCCGAATTCCATCAAGATTCTGGAAACTGCTATAAGTAATTACTGTAAAAAGATCCCAAGCAATAGCATCACCTGTGTGACATATCATATAAACATTGTTTTAGAGGATGAGAGTACAAAGGATGCTCAGAAGACATCTTGGTTGGTATGTAACAGTGTGGGTGGGCGGGGGATCAGTGGTCAGCTGGACACTCTAGCTGATGAACTGAAGTTTGTCCCCATCATAGGAATAGCCATGTGTTTATCAGGCCACGAAGAAGAAAGAGGAGCAGTAGCTGATTTCTCAGGAAAAGCATTTTGTTTTCTTCCTTTACCTCCTGGCGAAGAGAGCAGAACGGGACTCCCAGTTCACATCAGTGGCTTCTTTGGCTTGACTGACAACCGTCGGAGCATCAAGTGGAGAGAGCTGGACCAGTGGAGAGATCCTGCTGCTTTCTGGAATGAACTTCTGGTCGTGAATGTTGTCCCCAAAGCTTATGCCACTCTGATCTTAGATTCCATAAACCGCCTACAGGCAGAAAAAAGTACTGACTTCCCTTTGTCAGTTGATGTCATCTATAAGCTTTGGCCTGAGGCCAGCAAAGTCAAAGTGCACTGGCAGCCAGTGTTGGGGCCCCTGTTCAGTGAGCTGTTCCAGAATGCTGTGATTTACTCAGTTAGCAATGATTGGGTCAAGTTGGAGCAGGTGTGCTTCACAGAACTTGATGAGAGCTTGGCATATACAAAATCTGTACTCAACTACCTCCAGAGTTCAGGGAAGCAGATTGCCAAGGTACCAGTGAATCTGGCCACTGCTGTGGAGCTCAGTGCTGCTGCCTCCTCCAGCGGGACACCCGTGAGGAAGGTGACGCCTACGTGGGTGCGACAGGTGCTGAGGAAGTGTGCGCACTTGGGCAGTGCTGAAGAAAAGCTCCACCTTCTAGAATTTGTGCTTTCTGACCAAGCCTACAGTGAGCTGCTTGGGCTAGAACTGCTCCCTTTACAAAATGGAAATTTTGTCCCCTTCTCCTCATCTGTATCAGATCAAGATGTTATTTATATTACCTCACAAGAATATCCAAGGTAGAGATCACACTTCTAAAATGTTGGCTTGCTAGTCGGAGCCCCCTGGCCTGCCCATAGCTTTTCTTTACTGCACAATTAACCACTTATCTGTCTTGATTTTATGGCTAGAAGACTTTGATGAAATACTTCATTAGGATATTAAAGCATGTATTTTGTATTTTTGTTGTTGTTGGGTATTGGTGGTAGTCGTGGGGCTTGAACTCTGGGCCCTGGCTCTGTCCCTGAGCTCTTCAGCTCAAGGCTAGTGTTCTACCACTTGAACAATAGCGCCACTTCCAGTTTTCTAGTGGTTTTTTGGAAGTAAGAGTCTCACGGACTTTCCTGTCCAGGCTGGCTTTGAACTCTGATCCTCAGATCTCAGCTTCCCGAGTAGCTGGGATTATAGGTGTAAGTCACCGGTGCCAGGCTCATTTTGTATTTTTAAAGGCAAAAGCGTTCCATCATTTGTCAGGTAACATTTTCTAAGATCATGGTGGCATATGTTTGTGGTCTCAGAGACGCAGGTGGCTGAGGCAAGAGAATCAATTGAGTCTGGGAATCCCTGGTCATTCTGGGAAATAAAATAAGAGAATCATCGGGGTAGTTATTTTTCTTGGAAATTTCAGTAGCAGCACTGAAAGTAATGATTATAGAATGCTAATAGCTGTCTACAATTAGTAATGATTTATCTTGATAAGACAAAATTGTATATTAAGTAGCTTTTTGAGATGGAGCCTCTTTGGTTCCCTGTGAAACCCAGGCTGACTCTGAACTTTCAGTCCTTTTGCCTTAACCTCCCAAGTGCCAGGATTACAGCTGATATCACCATGCCTAGATTGATTAAGTAGTTCTTTATAGCTAAGAGTGTGCGTTGACATTTCAGGAAATGAAATTAATGGTATCCTAAGGTGTTTAGAATATTTCTGAATTTATATGGGACAGCAAAGGCTAGAAATACTTGGTCAAAAAGAATTATAGTTTGATTTGATGTCTACACTAAATTTATATAAAATAAAATGGTAGGTATAGCTGGTTTGAAATTACATAGTAAACTTTTTCTCACCTTCTAGGTCCCTTTTTCCAGGTCTTGAAGGAAGACTTATTTTGGATAACTTGAAGCCTCACCTTCTAGCTGCTTTAAAGGAAGCTGCCCAAACTCGAGGTATTTTGGTCTTTCAGTATTTTTTTTAAGGTGAACTCTTTACAAGTATGTAAATAAGTTTTGTAAGACTACATTTGAGAATTCATTTTATAATTGTAAGTCATTAACTTAATATTTTCAGAACCCTGGAATTGTAATAATTTTAGGATTTTTCATGTACCCTTCTAGTATCTAAAAAGTCTGGAAGTGATGTACTTAAGGATGTCTAGAGAGACACTTACAGAACTCTCATTTTCATATGTACCTGCCTTGCATTGTTTCTAGTGCTTCCTTGTTTTTCACCATTTGAACCTCTAGTCCTCAGACCTTGCAGCGTGGGTGGTAATGAGGACAGCCCTAGCTGTTATGTATCACAGAGCAGCAGAGAAAGATTAAGTTCCTGATGCTCAGTGGCATACCTGGAAATCAGGTCCTGGTCCTCCCCGCTGCCCTCATCACTTCTCCTGCGTGACTTTGTGTAGTTATGTCGGGTAGTTATGACAGGATCCCCTTTCAAGAGACATGGACTGACAAAGTAGACCCCAACACAGCATCAAGAGGGTTCTTAGGAATGCCCTGGATTTCTATAATGAGCTATTTTTAGGAAAAGAGTAACATGAGGGCAAACATCTGAAGGACTACTTTAATGAACAACATCACACCTTTAGCAAGCACCCTTTCCTTATAAAACTGTTGTCTGTGACTTTTTCTACGTAAGATGTTAGCCTGAAAATTGTGGATTTATTCCACTGGTGACCATTGCAAAGCATTTTCTTTGTGATGTGTCTTGTTTAGCATGTGCTCTTTTGTTTTCAAAGACAACTTGGAAGTAACTGTACATCTCTAGTCACTAAAATATACATGAAAGGATTTGGGATGTGGCAGGCAGGTGAGATTGGAGTTAAAGTGAGATTAAAAGGAAATGAGTTCATAAATGGCTTCCTGTCACAAAGATCTGTAATTGAAATAGTCAACACATTTAATTGTGAGCTGTCACCTTTATGCTAGTTTTTCTTTGAGTCTCAGCATGGGTTCCTGTGACCCTGCTGCTCTTTACTGCAGTATTTCAGAGCTTTCCTTTCTTCCCTCCTCCTTCTCTCCTTTTCTTCCTCTTTGACAATGTGTGAAATACAAAGTGGCGTGCATCATGGATATAGGCTTAGGTGAAACTGTGCAAACCGAACACCCACTTGTAGCCTAGAGCAGAAAGCAGAAAGCCATCAGCCCCAGGGCTCTTTTGTCATTGCCACCACTGAAGGAACTGTGGCCTGTGGCCCTAGCTTTGATAGAGATGAACCTCACTAGTGGTTGTCCCTAGAAAGGACCCATGCAGTATATACTTTAATTTCCCCCTCCAAGAATAAGATTGATCAGATCTTCACATGTAGAAGCAGGCACTCTTTAGTGAGATTGTTGTGCCCTACAGAATGGGTTAACTTTTGAGGCTTTCTTTTTTTTTTTTTTCTGGGTCTGGTCATGGGGCCTGAACTCTGGGCCTGGGCACTGTCCCTCAGCTCTTCAGCTCAAGGCTAGCGCTCTACCACTTGAGCCACAGCGCCACTTCCG